AGTAACGGGATTACTTTTTTGGGGAAGTAATCAGTAATTAGTTACTGATTACTTTTTTCAAGTAACTTGACCAACACTGCTCATGACTAAGCCAAAGCTAATTTCTTTAGCTATTTTCACATTTTCTGATCCAGCTTTACTTTATTTAAACAGTTATTTTAAATCAAGTTCAGGAAACCCTTTTCTGCAAATGCACACAATATTTTTCACAGCTAATATTTTAAAAGGTGTTGGCAATAAGGTGTTAGCAAGAACATTTACAGTGGCACTGTTCTGTTAAAGTGTCCAGTAAACTGTAACGGTGAGCAAGCATGAACCATAGCAAGGGAAACAGCTAATATAATCCAGCCAGCTGCTGTTTCTCTTGCAGTAGTGCGATAAAATGCAAAATATCCATTATAAAAAAGCCAAAAGTTTAGAAGTTATGTATAAGTTAGTTGTTTAAGTGCTGTGGACTTAAAATACGACTTGCAGCAAAGCACCATGATTATCTTTATGTTTCAGTTCTGTGAGTGCAAGTTTTAAAGACGCTTAAATTAACATAAATCAACAACTTTGCAATTAAAACTTAGCATCTTTAAGTTTCCTCTTGCAGGGTCAGAAATTGTCTGGGATACCACGCAAAGAAATGAAGTGGACGGCAGAAAAGCTCCAGGAAAAGAGAACGTGTCAGGTTTTGTTCCAGGTTGTCATTCAAGTTAAAGAGACACAACATCGCCTCTTTCTACAGACACACGTCAACACATAACCACCTCCCAACCCTCAGAGTATGATATGAACTTGGTTATTTATTACACCCTTCGTTCCCGTTTCTCATTTCCTCTTGTTGACAAACACCCAGTCCAAAACATATATCCATCCTGCTTGATGAGCACTATTTCACATGACATTTCCCCCCAAATCTCTTACAGCACTTCCCACCTAACATACACCTCCCCCTCCATCTCGTTTCTCCTATCTGAACCATTTCTCTCCATCTACCAGCCTCATTCTCCACTTTGCTAATCTTCACACCACCTCCAGCTAAATGAATCACTCTTTCAATTTCTTGTTCCCATTTCTCCCCTCCCAGGTTGCTCCATTCCCATTTTCATCTTCCATCATTCCCCCAACGTGTCCATTGACTCCATCTGATTCTGCCTGTCTTTTACACCTTAATCCCTTCCTTTTCCTTCATGCCTCCCCCCCACTCCCTCCCTACATGGCTAGCAGAACGACTGGTAGGAGAGCATATAATTTGTCAGAGGAGGTGCTGTCAGTTGACTGCTCTCCAGGCTAAGAGCTGCTCTCCTCGCCCCTGGGTTCACGGAGTCACTGCTCTGTTCCGCTCTGGGATTATGCAGATCTTAATTCCCTTCCGCTCACACCTGAGGGTGGCAGGGCATGAAATAAGAAAAGTGTTCACTGCAAATAAAACTTTTTGCCACCAAGACGAGGGAGAGAGGTTGAGGGAGGACGAGAGAAAGGTGACATGGAAAGAAGAAGACAGAGGAGCTTGGTTATTGTTAGATGGACTGAGTGAAAGAATGATGGCGTGGAAATAAAATGTTTTCTAGAACCCACAATGAATGAGATTTCCTGCAGTAGTGAATAAACTAAGCACAGAAACAACATGCTCCACTCCCAGCTCCCATTTTCAAACATGCATCCAAATGTTCAGTATGCAGCAGCTTCATTAGTTTTTATAACCCCAGCAAGCTTTGTAATCACTGTTCAGCACCACGATTATCCTACACTGGAGTATTAATGTAGCGATTTAAACGACCCACAAAAGCCATCACTCAACCTTTCAATGCAACCGGGAATTCCACAGGTAGTTTGACACCTCTGGGCAAACAGATTTAGTGACTCCGTGGTTACTTCATAGTTAGCGGCATCTTTTTGTTCTGTGCGTAAACGGCAGGTCTAGTTTTTTAATTAATTAATTAATTGATTGATTTCTTGCTCATATGTACCAGTCTTCCATCCCCCCTTCCAACCAGCATTTAAAACGTTTAGATGTTAATTTCTAATAAAGTCTTTTAAATAAGTAAACAAATGACAGATGTCTTACAGCCAGTAGCGTCGATTAAAATGGTTTAAAAAAAAAAGTTTATGCGAAGCAGTTGATGAGAGAGAAAATAAGTCGCACAAACACTGAGAGAATAGCAGATTGCTCCCTCACCTGATAAAGACTCCTTGGAAAAAGCAGAAAGACAAGACATACAGTATCCGAATGACCTGTGGGAGCATCCTCTGGCTCGAAATCTCGCCCCACTCCCGATGAATAACTTGCGAGGTTAATTGTGGGAATCAGCAAATCCACTGAAGAATCGTGAGACCGGTGTGGAGGAAAAAGGCATCGTCTCTCTCAGGGATCCAGGCTGGTCTTTGGGTAAACTTCTCCCCCCTCCCAACAAGTCCAAGGGGGGGTGAACACATGCAAACAGCGGGCGCTGTGCTTCAGGCGGCTGGGCGGCACTGGTCAGACTGTCAGTGCGCTGGTGCATGTGTTCAAGGGGAGTGTCGGTTTACGTGTGGGTCTCTTTTTTCCTCTCTCCTTTTCCTTCACAATGTGGTTTCGTCTCCTTTTCACTGTATTTCCCTCCCTCGCTCCAAAAAATTTGAAAGGAGTGAAGATTTAAAGGAACAGTAGCTTTTGTTTTGACGGCTGCCTCTGGTGTAATTACCCTTAATTAGAATGAAGGGAGTGAGGCCTCCGATGATGACCTAATTAGACGCTAGCTGATGACCAGTTTGGACTAAAACACTCAAAAACGTGTCAGGAAAATGTGAAAGTTCATTTTTAAATTGTTATTATTTAAGATTTCTAGCGCAATAAAATAGCTTTCTTCAAGTATTAGCGCCACAAGCTGTTTTATGCCATTCACCATTTTGTTTTCCTGCAAGTATCAGCAGGTAATTTCCAGCAACAGTCCCCTGATAGCAATCACCTTTGACCATCACAGCCAGCAGCTTTCTATGCACAGATCTAATTAGGTGCCGTGGTTTAATTACACTTACAACATCTAGTTATCATTGGTAAACTATTGCTGTCAAGGGAGCGTGACCTGTAAATTCTTAGCCGACCAATCAGCATGCAGGATGTTAGCGCTCTGTGGACAAAACTGGCTTCTAATCACTAATTTAGAAAAAAACAACTAAATTACAAAAGTCTTGTTTATTTCAGTTCAAACAAAAAAATCTGGGCTGTTATTTTAAAAAAGGATTATTATTATTATTATTATTATTATTATTATTATTATTATTATACCCAGGAGATGCATACCCACAGATAAACCTGCTAATTACTACTAACAGACTAAAATGTCACTCACCTGAAATGGGTCAAAAAGCTTCTTTAAGGGTTTGTACCACATGGACAAATGAAAAGAAGAAAAAGAACAAACAGCCATTTATAGTTGTTGGTTTTTGAGTGAATGATTCTTTGAAAACAAAGCCACATTTTGTACAAAGCTGTGGAATGGGCATTTTAACATGGGGGTCTACAGGTAGTGACTCACTTTTGGACCCATTCATAAAGTAGCCATTGGAGGAGCGGCAGTTTTTGGCACTTCAGTATTATCTTCATTTTTAAGCCCTGGAAGCTGCAGTATGGGCAAAGCAAATGTTGTTCACCAATTTTTTTTTAAGGAGCTTCATTGAACCAAAATACAATATTGTTATCAACCAAGTGACTGAGGTAAACCTGCCACCACCTTTGCACCCTTTAAAATTGTAAAAAGAGTGATTTTCCACATGGAAACATCACCAAAGTGGAGCTTTTGCAGGGATGTTGCTGGTTTTATTAAATGAACTGCTGAGGTGGGTGCTGTGGTTAGCAAGTGCCTGATCTTCTTTGTAAAAAAGATCAATATATTTGTGGCTTGAACTAGATGGAACCCTGTCTGCTATGGTAGACAGTGTTACTGCATCAGGTCATTGAATGCATCCCCATGTACTGGCAAAAGAAAGAAAGCAGAGCCAGTGTCAGTGTCCATTAGCGCCTCTGAATATTAGAAATCACAGGGCAGCAGCACAGTTGTCTGTTTTATTGTCAGTCATCTTTCCCGGTTGATTCCACTCAGCAGCTCTAATATGTACTAAGTAGGCAGAACCATTACTTGTCTTTATGTGTGAAAATACAGCAGATTAACTTTCGCCATATTCAATTACTTGGTCCCCTTTCAATGAAGAACGGTATTAAAGATG